GGGGGGGAACAAAGAAAAGATTTTTTTTGTGTTGTCAAACTGAATATCTTATGAAGGAATTATCTTGCGATTAGCAGAATTATTTGTCAATTTTAATTTGTAATAGATAATAAATCTTTTAATTTTTTCCGAATGTACTTACGTTTGGTCTGTTGGGAATGTCAATTTGCAGGATTCGCATGTAAGACCAAAATGATTTGGAGAGGTTATAGCAAGTAGGAAAAAGCTTGTGTTATTTCACATGAATAAGACGTGAGAAAGGCAAATAAGAGCTCTATATATATGATGTAATAGGCAACCTTGGCCTTTGTAACTTTTCACTTGTTATGAGTTTATTATTGAATCATTAAGCATTGTCACAAGTACTTTCGTTGAGTATATCTTTTCTTAAGTGTTTTTATTATTTCTCTCCGACGTTTTTTTATTGAGTTTAACTTCTATACAACTGTTCTACATTAGATCACCTAAAAATTAATTACAAGTTATCATTCATAAAAAGTAAAATTAGTGTTTTGGAAAATATATAAGACAAGTTAATGCAATGACGTGTTAAAATATATTGATAGTGTAAAAAAAATTATACTGACAATATTTGTAAATTACAAATCTTGGTAGGGAATAGAGCTACAGTAGAGAGCGCTTTCTATGCAAATCCGGATTAGTTGGGTCCTAAAGCGGGTGAAAAATCAAACAACAATTAAAATAAAATAAAAGAACTTGACAAAACGGCGAGAAAATTTTCAATGAACTTAACAAATAAGTAACATGGATATTCGATTCACTTTTAATCCATTCCGGAGGATGAACAATATTCTCCAGTATATATGTATTGGATATTTGGATTCCCAAACATGCCATAGGATAGTAACTTTAAAAATCATCATATTTGAGTTAAATTTAATTTGGTCAATGGCAAAGCGGTACTTCTTAAATATGAAATGACAATGTTATGTTATATAGAGACATGAGATTAGCAATTTAACTTTGACTTTTGTAGATCTTCTACATAGTGAAGGAAAAGAAGTATAGAAAGTTAATTCTTTCATAGGATGCATGGTCCATTAGGTAAAGTATTATTAGGTTCCCTATACACTTCTCACTTTTATGAAATCTCTTGATATGGATAAGAAGACTTTTGATCTAATCTTAGCACCTGGAATGCTGCTTTCACGTCGATAGACAAATGGATGTGGAAGTACATACCTAATATCTTTAATGTTTGTATATGGTCTTAATTTATGCGCTGATCTCTAAATATCTTACACCAATGGCTAAGATTAAACTAAAGATATCACGTACTTATCATGTTCAATTAATCGTATAAGATAGTTTTAATCTTTTTAATATTAGATATTGCTCTTAACCATTCGATGAATTTGTTGAAGGGGACAACCTACAACCAATGTAAAAGACTGATCTACACTTATCAGTTACATATACGCAGCTCATGGAAGATATTTGTCATATACGTTACACCAAAACACCTAAACTTTCCATATCTACTTTTGATATCAACAGAATCTTCTAGACTTTTGTTGACGAAATATTGTTATGAAACTGAGCATCCACTTTCTATTCGTTCATTTATTCAAATTAATCTTAGTATATGTACTTAAGCAGTCATGCTACTTGGCGAGACAAGTTTTCAATACAAGGACATAATTAGGTAAAGACCAAAAACCGCAAGGAGGATGGATAAGTTCGAATTTTCCCCCCACAAAGTACAACTTTTACCAAAGGGAAAAAGAGAGAAAAACGAAGGCTCAGAAAGTTTAGCATCAGCATAGATGGCAATCAGGAAAAAAAATCAATATAATTTGTGTCATACATAAAGCTAAACCACAATAAGGAATATAATAAACATAGATTTTCTTTGAATTGCACTATCCAAAGTGATTTTTACATTCTATTTCTCTATGTACAAGAAGAGCTGGAAATGTGTTGAAGACCCTAAAGTACCTAAAATGCCCAGAAGCAGCTATGGTTATTTGGTCCTTCCTACCTATGTATCTAATTTGCATAACAAGAAAAGATGGAGTCATCTATAAGACAGGTCTATTCAACTTCTTCTATTTCATGTTCCTAAACAAGTAATACTTGTCCTCGTTACTAACAGGATTTTCAGGCTCCACATGGCAGACAAAATTCATCAGCCAGGACCAAGAAAAAACAAAATTGCCCAGTTTTGAAGTTCTTACCTGTACAACAGAAGAAACAGGAAACAACACGAGGTTATTTTTTAAAGAAACAGTCGCAAGAATACTAAGATATGCTGCTATATTTAAAAAAAAACTAAGATATGCTGCAACATCTCTTAGCCCCATAGATATCCTTCTCTAAAAAGTTGTACAAGTTAAACAGAGACGGAACTAGCAACAAGCTTCATTCCAAAAGCTACTTTGCCCCTTTTATAGTGTAGTTCAAATTTTTTTTCTGTGAGCTAGAGTGAATTATTAAATTTTCGGTGCAATATGACCAGTTCACCTTGCTTGCTTGTGCTGGACCATTTGGAATGAAAAAAGCACAGGTGCCTTTCGAATGTACATATGTTGAAGTGTCTGCCTTTCTTAGCTCTCTAGCCTAGATTACAGAATATACATGGCAGAGGACGATACAATAGAGTTCATTGGTTCAGTATCAGACCGAATAGCACTTATGTAAATGAATGCTTCTCTTGTACAGGGCTATATTCCGTCTTCTTCTTCTTCTTTTTTTCTGACCAGCACTATCTTTCTTTTTTCTTTTAAGAACAGTGGTACCCAGGCCCGCTTGCACGCACCTAGACCATTTAACTGACAAGCACTATCTTAGTGCTGATATATTAATATATGATAGACTTACCTTTTCAAGAAATTCTTGTAACTGCTTGTAAAAGTGGCTTGAATGGTTATTTCGGGCTAGCAATAGAGAGGGTAATTGGCTGAACTATCCTGCATTGAGTGGATAGAGTAAAAGAATTGTGTCTTATGCAATAACAGTTGCAATTGAGCAGGTTTAGGATGTAGCTCCAGTATATGTATACTCAATAGGGTCTAACAAACATATGCATGTTAACAAAGTAGAGTCCCCCCAGTAATTAAAAATTGTAACGATGTTCGTAAAATGTTAACAGGTCAAAGAGATGGTAACTGTAGAACACATCAAGGTATAGTTCCAAAATATATTTTCAAGAACAAGCGATTTTAATACGTTACTATCTACACTTCCATAATGCATATAATCTCGCTATTTATATCTAAACACACTGAATCTGTTAAAAGATGCAACATCTGTAATGTTCAAATTACTTGGTATCATTCATATTTAATCCTTTTTTATGGTCTAAAAATCTGTGTACTGCCCATATCCTAGCTGTCACTGAAAACTTGTTCACTAGATTTATATGCTAAATGCAAATTTTGGTGTCCAAAAATAGCTTGATAAAAATTTTCCTTCTAAAAAACAATAGCTTGATTAAATTCTAACTTGTCATAATCTCTAAGCTCAGAGTGAAACCTAATGAATTCACAAGAGAACACCACCCTTTCATTAAGGATTTGCATTTATATAACCGAGAAATCTCTGAGGGCCAATAGCACATGGTTCGAAACTCAGTAGATAATGGGCCACCCTTCTACTCTTCTCCACTTAAATAATGGGTTTTTGTCTATGGCAGGGTTCGAATCCATGATGTGCGCCTAACCCATACATCATACGCAGCGCTCTTACCGCAAGACCAAAGCCATGAAGGTCCACCCTTTCGTTAAATTTCCACTTAAGAAACCACGAATTGGATGAGATATGTTATTATGACCATCAAATTATTGTTAGGAGGCATCAAACATGTGTTAGGAAGATCACTTCTTAAATAATTGGTTTCCTTTTGGGTATCATGGAATTTCATAATCGTTTTGTATCTTGGCTAGAGGAAGACTTGGCAATCTAATAGGTCTAGCGCTCTCCAGTACTGTAGGGAGTAGCTTGCTAATATCCAAACTTGTCATGATCTCTGAGCTCAGAGTGAAACCTCTCTGTATCTTGGCTTAAGGAAGAAATGGCAATCTAATTGGTTTAGGGACCTCTCTGTATCTTGGCTTGAGGAAGAAATGGCAATCCAATTGGTTTAGGTCTCTTTCTAATAGCTTGCTATTATACTAATTTGTCATAATATTTAAGATCATAGTGAAACCTGATGAATTCATAGTTCACAAGAAAACACCAGTCTTTCACTGAGTTTTCACTTATGACCACGAATTGGATGAGATATTTTTATATTATCATCAAAACCTTGCTAGGAAGCATGAAACATGTGTTAGGTCATTTGCGTTTCTCTAATTACAACATCTTGCATTTCATGCATACACCGTGACTACCCTTTTCTTTTCCCAAAGAGTTTATGTTCACTATGGGCAAAAAACCAGGTATGGTGTATCTTTTGCATTCCCTAATCAGTGATGAATGGAGCATATACTATCAAAAAGAAGAGCCAAGGGTATTATCACTTTTAGCCCGCGTCAAAAACTATTTACATTCGGTAGCCAAAAAAGTGTATAAAATTTGTATAATTTTTGTATATAACATACAGAATGTATATATATATACGGAAAATATACATTTTTCGGCTATTATTTTGAGAGTGGTTATACAATGTCATTTTTCCAAAATTATTGTAATTGGAGGGCAGTTATTTAACTAAGATTCGTTTTTTCCTTTTCTTACCAAAAGATAGGGTGACGCTTGACTAATGTTGAAGCTAATGTAGACATAACAAGTAGCATAACTCAAAAATTCTTACCAATATATGGGGGTGAAGCTTGACTAATGTTGAAGCTACAGCAGATATAACAAGTAGCACATAACTCAACAATAGTTGTTTCCTTTTTCCTTATGTTCGAAAGATGAAAGCAATAACTATCCAGAAAACAAAAGTACTAATATAGTAATATGTACTCTTTTGCATAGACATTTCACACTCCAGTATTCTGGTGCTCTCACTGATAGCAATCGAGCAATATTATACTGCTTCCAAGACCACCATATAAAATTTAACCAATAGCAAAAGAAAATTACCTTATGTAGGAGATTACTTCACTGGTTTAGCAGAATCTCCCCTTAACTCCTTTCTTATCAGCTTAAGAATTTCAATAATCTGCATTTGAATAAAAGAGATATGTAAGAAGATACAATGTTACCTCTTACAATACAAGCTTCAGGGGAAACTGCAACTAGTCAAACACCCCCACCCCGTACACACACACCTAAATGCCCAATCCTCCACCCAACCCCTGGAATTTGTTCACCAGCAGCAGGAAAAAGTCTTTTATCCCACTTGCCATTTCAACCGCAGTTACTGATAGTCCTAAATGCCCAATCCTCCACCCAACCCCTGGAATTTGTTCACCAGCAGCAGGAAAAAGTCTTTTATCCCACTTGCCATTTCAACCGCAGTTACTGATAGTCCTAAATGCCCAATCCTCCACCCAACCCCTGGAATTTGTTCACCAGCAGCAGGAAAAAGTCTTTTATCCCACTTGCCATTTCAACCGCAGTTACTGATAGTCCTAAATGCCCAATCCTCCACCCAACCCCTGGAATTTGTTCACCAGCAGCAGGAAAAAGTCTTTTATCCCACTTGCCATTTCAACCGCAGTTACTGATAGTCCTAAATGCCCAATCCTCCACCCAACCCCTGGAATTTGTTCACCAGCAGCAGGAAAAAGTCTTTTATCCCACTTGCCATTTCAACCGCAGTTACTGATAGTCCCCACATGATAACTACTACATACTCTGGTGTTGTTTTTTCTTAATTTCTCCCTTTAACTTGTCCTTCAAAACTTGGTGCAAGAAAAATTCTGTCTTCAGATGCAAAGGCCAGTTCCTGAATCTAGCAGCCTCAATAGAATTATTTTTAGTATTTGCAATCTTAGAGACAATACTTGAACAACTTTACTTGCTCCAAGTTAAATCAAAAGAACCCAAAAACACTTACATTGAAGGGGAAAGTTAATTAAGATTTCTTTGAGCAGAAGATTTGACTTACTCCAGGATAATGCTGCAAAACTGGTGAGTAGTGATCAAGTGCGATGTATATCTTTTCAAGTAGTCGCAGAAGTGTATCTACCTCATCTCCCAAAAGATCAACCTGAATATAGAATTTAAAATATATCAGGCAAACTATAGAAGCATGGATAAATCAAAGGATGTTTTTACTTATGTAGTAGGCTTGTAACTTACACTTGAAGTCATTGCAGAGTTAGCTACTATGAAAATGCTTTGATAAAAAAGAACTATTATGAACATGCAAAACCAAAAAAATATACAGGACCAATACAATTTTTAATAGGTAATTTTATATCTTCAAAGCTAACCAAATGAAATGGCATGATTATAGATGATTCAAATAGCCAACCAACTAGTTTGGGATTGAGATGTAGTTGTTGTTCTATAGCTTGTAAATAAATAGAAATCGATGTAAATGGAAAATTCATTTTGATGTCCATACTATCAATTGCTTATTTTGTCTCTTTATAATTAGATAACTTTAGCATGGATCATAACGAGAGTTAGATTTTCAATTAACCTAAGTCAACCATCTCTCCATTAGTTTGGAGGCTGCATGTAGATTAACATACTCCAACTGATTATATTCCTATGCCTAATAAATGCAGGTCATTACCTCAGCCTCGGCCTTTTGAAGGTCTGAACATCTTTTTTCAAGCCTCTGTCGGTACAATAGCACTGTTCTTCTAAGTGAATTGGTCTTCTTAGCAAGAGAATTCAATTGACACGATGAATGCTCCAACCTGAAAGTATTGAGACAATCTATTATGCTGTAGGAAAATCAACACATTGTAAAACTTCAAGAATTCGTATCTTCTATAACCTAGGTCCATGTGTATGTGTGCACATGTGCATGCGTGTCTGCCTGCGTGTGTTTATGCCAGTTAAATGAAAAATGAACATGTACAAGTATTACACTGTATTTCCTATTAGTATAAAATGATTAAGCCAGTCTACAGTAAAAACATGGTGTTAATGCTTAAACCAGTTAAAAACATTCCTGATTACTATACAATAACTAAGCCAGTTATAACGCCTATATACCTGATTTCCGATGCATCCAAAAACAAATCAGGATATGCATAGACAAATAGGCTTGTAAATTACAATAAAGAAAAGCACAATGTTTTAGTGCTGGAAAACTTTTTTGGCACATGTTGGTGCAGTAAACAGAAGGGAAACTAGGCACAACGGGAAGACTTAGCTGCCATGTGACCGGTAGGTCAAGGGTTCAAGCCATGAAAACAGTCGCTTACAAAATAGCAAGGTAAGACTGTAGAAAAGACCCAATGTGGTCTGGTCCATCTTTAGCGAGAGCTTAGTGCACCAGGTTGATGCATTAAACAATAGCTTATCTATAGCTGGGGTAGGGCACATGGAGAGAACGAGTCCATTAAGGAGTAGATGAGTAAATATTATCGACAAAAGGGAAAAAATTAAAGGATAGAAATAGATATCCAACTGATAATCAACAACTGGCAATATGTGACAGCAAAAAGTAGAATCTTTTCCTGCCATGAAGAAAACTTGGGGAAAATAACTGTAAGTGTTATTTCATCTCATGATTAGCTTTTACGTATTATTCAATTTTTTGAGACCAATAAGGTTTAGTTTTAACAACGTAATTTTTTTTTCTTTTTTGATCAAGAAAGCAATATGGATATCAAGAGGGATCCTGTTGAGCTGCATAAGAGAGTCCTATTCTACAGCATTTGAATGTTCCCTGGTATATAAGGGCCTATAGATTGATGTGGCAGGAAGAAACTATGGCAGGTTAGTATTAGAAAGCAGAGCAAAGTTTACGGGCGATCCCAATTTGAAGAGAAGGGGTTCTTCTTTTAAATTCAAATTTAGCACTTGAGTAAAGAAATCTGTTGTTGGGTCATTTAGGCTTCTATCTTGGCCCATTTTTTAAAACGGCAAAGTTATGTATAACGGGGTTTGTTATGTTATAGGCATTCCATATTTTCGTTGGGGCTAATGTAAAGCTGCATTCATCTTGACTGCCATCCCAAAATAATTGTACATTAACTTATCAAATGCTCCCTCTGTTTCAATTTATGTGCCTTAGTTTGACTTAGCTCAGAGCTTAAGTAAGAAAAACTTCTAGATCTTGCAGTGTAATGTACCAAGATGCCCTTGAATCTTGTGGTCTTAAATATGTCGTGTGAAATGTTGGAGTTAAATAGTTACTAAAAATAGAAAGAGGCAGTCTTTTTGAAAGAGACTAAAAGGAAAGTAAGACACATAAATTGAAACAGAGGGAGTACATATGTATAGTTGATTTTCATAAAGATAATAATGACAGCTGCATTAGCAATGCTTCCTTTTTTAATTGGTAATATTACATTAACAATCATACTAANTGATTTTCATAAAGATAATAATGACAGCTGCATTAGCAATGCTTCCTTTTTTAATTGGTAATATTACGGTAACAATCATATTAGGCAATTGTGATTAACTATTTAACTTAATGTCATTTCCCTTTCAATAGATGAACTAGCATATTTAAGTATTTACATAAATTTTATATATTGCTTTTTACTTATATAGAGTAATGAAAATATTACACATTTCCATAGTATCACTATAAATTTACCATTTTGGAAGATAGAATTGTTTCGAGTATCATTTATTTCTTATGTCATTACATTTATTACTATTTTAATCAGGCTTTTACCCAGTTTGGAACTCTACTGTGCCGGTAGAACTTTTTGGTATCTAAATTTTGATAGGACTCACAAGAGTCCATATGCGGAAAAGTATAACTTTAAAAGGTAATCATTAATACCATGTGGGTTATGAAGCACATACCTCGCATGATTAGTTTCAAGACTGCCATTCACCCTGCATTCAAAATCCGCAAGCATTTTTGACAGCCCATGCACCGTACAAATTACTGTTTCCATCTGCTTTCTTTGCTCAATTTCTTTGGTTTCATTTAAGGCCAAAATGTTCTGCCTCTCCTCAGAAACAGCAAGGACCATCTTTGTTTTGTCATCAGCTTCTTTTAACTCCAGCACCTTCTCTACAAGCTTTTGATTTAACTGGTGGGTCACCTCCTTCAGTGCTTCAATTTGCTCCAATGCTTCTGCCAATTGACTCTTTACTGCATCTAATTCTATATTGTTCTCAGAAACTAATCTTTGCTGCCTACTTGCATGTTCTCTCACAGCATTGAGCTCTTGAGTTACCAACTGAAAATGTTCCTTCTCCTTTGCTAGAGCAGTTGATGCATCTCTTGCTAATTTGTCCTTTTCATCCACTGACGTTTCGAGCTGATAAATCATTTGCTTTAGTTTTTCCTTCTCTTCAACCTCCAATGTTAATTCATATTCCCTCTGAATAGCTTTCATCTCAAGAAATATCCGACCTTCATTTTCATTCAAATAATCCTGGTACAATTCTTTGAGCTTGTCCTGAGCATCCTTGATGCCTTCACTGAAAATCACTCCATAAAGATCTTGCACTATAAGACACTCTAACTCTGAATCTTCAAGTTCAAATTTGCTGGTACTTTCGGCATTAATGTAAGCTTCCCTCAAAATAATATCATAAATTCCATTCATAATATGAAACTCCATGCTTGACTCATCAGCTTCTCTGCCTTTCTTTCTAATGAGATCCCTCAGAAAACATGTATACACTTCTTCCCTGACTGAAGCTGCTATCTGTAAGTCTTCCACAACTAAATTGATATCATCTATTTGCTTTAGCATGTTAGCTTCAGCAAAAGACTGTTGCCGACTCTTCTCAGCAGCGCTGGAAATTTCGGATAGCATACACTTCACGTCATTTTCCTTATCTCTAAGCAATTCGTTTAGCTGACGATTTTCAGAAAGAAGGCTGTCGATTCTGTCCTTCAAATTGTCTAAACTTTCAGCTTTCTGAGTAAATTCAGGACAGTTTTTATTCTTTACAAGGATATCGTCCAATTTCAATATAACTTCTGGGATCTTCTTTCTTAGAAAATCAAACTCCCCCTGATCCGTCTTATGCGGCACAATAGACCCCCTTCCTATAAGATTTAGATATTCGCGTCTTAGAGCAAAGTAGTCATCAGTTTTCTTTTCCAGAATGGACTCGTGTTCTCTCTTCATCTTTGTCATCATATTATTAAAATAGTCCACCATTTCCTCCCGTGACATGTGTTTCAATGAGGCAGCTTCAAACTTCTCGGGTATATCACTTTTTGAATCCTCCAGCCTCCCTTTTTCCTCCCAAATAGATTTTGAAGATGCCACATGCTCACTTGACATCTTGCGGTGAAAGTGGTCCACATCCTGAGATGCATGTAATGTCAGACGCCCTGTTTCTGTACTTGACAATGACTTCAATATAATCTCTATATCATTCCGCAAACTAGAGATCTCATTCAACTTCTCAATTCGAATGTCACGTGATTGACGATACTGATCCCACAATTTGTCCTCAAAAACTTCCTGCATANAGCTTTCATCTCAAGAAATATCCGACCTTCATTTTCATTCAAATAATCCTGGTACAATTCTTTGAGCTTGTCCTGAGCATCCTTGATGCCTTCACTGAAAATCACTCCATAAAGATCTTGCACTATAAGACACTCTAACTCTGAATCTTCAAGTTCAAATTTGCTGGTACTTTCGGCATTAATGTAAGCTTCCCTCAAAATAATATCATAAATTCCATTCATAATATGAAACTCCATGCTTGACTCATCAGCTTCTCTGCCTTTTTTTCTAATGAGATCCCTCAGAAAACATGTATACACTTCTTCCCTGACTGAAGCTGCTATCTGTAAGTCTTCCACAACTAAATTGATATCATCTATCTGCTTTAGCATGTTAGCTTCAGCAAAAGACTGTTGCCGACTCTTCTCAGCAGCGCTGGAAATTTCGGATAGCATACACTTCACGTCATTTTCCTTATCTCTAAGCAATTCGTTTAGCTGACGATTTTCAGAAAGAAGGCTGTCGATTCTGTCCTTCAAATTGTCTAAACTTTCAGCTTTCTGAGTAAATTCA